ATCTGAAGAGAGGAAAAATTCAGAAAAACTAGGTGATTGAAGTGATTACTAATTTTCCTGCCTTATCTTGTCATAGAGACTCAGAGAGGGGCATGTGTATTTGTCATTATAATCCAATGATATATACCAGGTTTAACACTAATATTGCCTACATTGTGTAACAGCATAATTATCCATCCCACAAAATGTTTAATATCTAAAAAAACACTAAACTAATTGAGTTTCTTTTTTAACCATCTTGACACCATTTTTCATAAGAATCACTGAAAAGCCCTTTCAATTATTCAGCTAAAAGGAGAGCAGGTTAAAATTGTTTTGTGTCTGACCTACTGTCTTCCCAACTGAGCAATAGTAAAAGGAAAAAGATCATTCAGGCCCTCAGTAATGGTACCAATATTCATACTCTGGCTTCCATCTTCAAAGTCCATTCAAGAACCATCAAGAGAACAGTGAATAAATCTAAAAAAGAGAGAACAGTAAAGAGGAAAACTGGATCATAAGGTCACAATAGGAAGAGGGATCATCATTTCAACTTAGAGTTAAAGAGATCAATTAGAAAAGATCCAACTCAATTCATAAGAGGTTTGGCATGTGAGAGAGGAGTTTCACCTATGACAGTCTCAAGAGCAGTGAAAAAAGACTTGAAAATGAAATCATACATGAAACCTGTGAGTCACCTTGTTACTCCAGGATAGAAAGTTAGAAGGTTAGAAAGGATGAAGATCATCTTAGCTAAGTTGGAAAATGACCCTGAAATAATAAATATATATTTGAACTTTATTTCAATACATCATGGACTTCTGATCCTTAGCTATGATTAATTAATTATGAACACATCATTTTCGTTTGTGACTGATTTCATCACGATACTTCTGTTAAGCTTGGAGAGTAATTATACATACTTATTGCTCAAAGTAAAGTTCAATACTGTTATAAAAACTTTAGAGAATTCTAGTAAGATATCTTTAGTCATTTTTAAGATACAATGGTTCAGAGCTTAATCTAACAATTGGACAATTTTGCTGTTAAAACCGTGTGTGTGTGTGTGTGTGTGTTTATATATATATATATATATATATATATATATATATATATATATATAATACAATAGGAATTAAGATTACATTAAGTTAATGATCATTTTCATCTTGAAAATTGAAATAAAATTTACAAGGATTTTTCAAACCAATCAATGGATGATAAAATAAATTGACTGATTTGAAAAATCCTTGTAAATTTTATTTCAAATTACAAGGTGAAAATGATTATTAACCTAATGTAATCTTAATTCCTATTGTATAAAAAATATGTTGCTCTGTTTGATTAAAACATTGAGCTGTGTGAATCAGTTTTAATATTCCATATTTTATATTGTATTAATAGGATTCACTTGGATTATATGCCAATGGATTATTACCTGTATATATATATATATATATATATATATATATATATATATATATTAGAGACCAAAATTTTGGGGCCACTTATAGATTTCAAAACAATCACCTAAAAATCGAAGTCTGGTTAGCTTTTACAAAAAATTGAATTCTTTTCTCATTGTTTCTTCAAAGTATTAATCTCTAATTTGCAGTTATTGAAGTTTGAAGAAAATAATTTTTATTTTTATTGGTTCTTTTAAGTAAACAAAGATATCATTCCTGCTCTATCCTTACAGTAACCTTTCTTTTTATTGGTTAAGTAAACAAAGATATCATCCCTGCTCTATCCTTACAGTAACCTTTCTTTTTATTGGTTAAGTAAACAAAGATATCCTTACAGTAACCTTTCTTAACCCTCAATGCCTTTTGCCATTTTTAGTTCTGCATGTCTTTCAGTGGGAATAATTACAATAATACATATGGTTATTAATTGCTGCTGATTTTACTTAGTTGATATATAACATTTAAAGTTACTGCTGAGTGCCCTCCCTGATATAATCAGTTTAAACTCTGTCAGTAATGGGAAAACTGTTTTTGTAGTTTTATCATCATTGAAGACATTACTTTATAATTTACAAATGTTTCTGTCTGAATTTCTTGGATAAGGAGTTCTTATTTACATTATTTATATTCAAACTAATATCCTCATCTTCATTCAACAGGTGCCTGAGAGAAAGCTAGAGAGTACAATGGCCAAAAAATTATGATAATAACAACAAAGTTGAGGATATTAGTCCAAACATAAATAATGTAAATAATAATGTAATATTTTGAAAAATATATTTCTTATAATATTAATTATTAATTGAAACAAAACAAATAATTCTGTTATTTACTTTTTTTCATATTTTTCCAATGAACATGACTCAGTGCACATGTTAGTTCTTTGTGTGTCCATTCCATGAAGTCATTGCTTGTAGATTGACTACAGATTCTCAATTGGATTTAAATCAGGGGAGTTCCTGACCAGTCTATCGTACTTTGATTTGCTCACTGGTAAGACTTGCCAGTGTGTTTGTGCAGTGTTACAATTTTTGTATGCTTCCTTGGAGTAACATCCATTGCAGACAATGGCTGTAGGACAACTAATTGACAGTTGAGACAATAGTGTCTGAGTGTGATAAAAATCTGATACAATCACAGATGACGCAATATTTTTCAATGCCAAACAAATTTCATCATACACCCCGGAAATTACTGCACACCACTGCAAATGACCTAATCTGAGGAAAAAATAGAAATTGATTACACCCTGTCATTCCAGTGGGTCTAAAATTGACTGTATGGTGAAATAAAGAAAACTAAAGCAGTTGTTTCAATTAATTTGCACAAGGGTGTATTTATAAAAATGCTAGAAGTTATTGTTTTAATCAATAATTCTATTGCTGGATTGATTTGTTCCCAGAAAAGGATTGTTTTATGTTACAAAACCAAGGTTAAAGTACAGAGGAGAATATGAGATTTGCCAGTTTGTTAAATATTTGATTGAAATACTACATGATGAGTCTCTGAAACATTTATGAATTAATGTGATTGGCTAATTGTACTGTAGCTTTATTTAATTGTACCCAGTGATTGAATTGTACTGTTTAATAAAGAGGTAGTTCTTGTATTAATTTCTGACAACTGAGAACCCCTTTCTACTTGAATTTCAATGCTTTTCTATAGAAAAGTTATTTAAAATGTTTCTTATAGTGGAATTATTTGTAATTTGTTAATACAAGGATTGTTCAAAAAGTTCTAAGCCCCGCTCCCCAAAAAGAGACATAGCTGAGCATTTTTGTTGTGGCAACAGATTACCACCCCTTATAAAACTAGAAAGACTAATTCAAATTTTTGTCTTAATTTTTATGCAGGTGAAGCTTATACAAATCTGAGAGGTGTGCAACAAATATAAAAATAGGCAAAACAGAGGCCTGAGCAGACATAAAGTATCTGCAAAAGAAAAGTATGACACCCAAAGAAATCCATGAGGACATGGTACAGACACTTGCTGAGGACTCCCCTTCATATGAAACTGTGAAGTGGTCTGGGAAATTTAAGCAGGGCAGGAACAGCATAGAAGATGACCTTTGGTCAGGTTATTCAAAAACCTCAACCACTAATGAACAAGCTGATGCCATTCTCTGTATGTTTTTGGATGACAGCGATCTTACAGTCCAGCAGATAGATAATTCCATAGGCATTATATCTGGTTCAGTCCATACTGTTTTAATTGAGAATTTGGGAATGAGCAAACTGTCTGCAAGATGGATCCCAAGAATGTTGACACCAGATCAGAAGCTGAAAAGGGTTGACATTTCCAGGACATTTTTGTCTCACTTCCAGGCTGACCCAGAGAAATTCCACAGCAGATTAGTAACTCAAGATGAAAGCTGGGTTCACCACTTTGAACTGTTTGCTTTGAATCAAAGGTTCAAAGCAAACAGTAGAAACACTCTGGTTTTCAACCCCTGAAGAAGTTCAAGCAGGCAGTGTCTGTTGGCAAGATGATGGCTTCTGTTTTTTGGGATTCTGAAGTAAAAATCATGATAGATTACCTGGAAAAGGGAAAAACTATTAATGGACAGTACTATACATCAGAATTAAAAGACAAATGAAGGAAGCAATCAAGTCAAAATGCAGACAGAAGCTGAAGACAGGTGTGCTCTTTCATGTTTGCACTGAAACAGCCAACTGTGGCTTTGAATTACTAACCACCCCCCACTCAACAGACTTAGTTCCATCTAACTTCTTCCTGTTTCCTAAACTCAAATCCCACCTGCTTGGTCGCCATTTTGGAAACACCGATGAGATATGTGCTGTGGAGGAGTTTTTAGAAGACCAGGACGTCACTGTTTTCCGTGATGGGATTGCAATGCTTAAGCATCATTGGACCAAGTGCATTGATGTTAGGGGGCACTATATTGAAAAATAGTGAAATACTGGCTTATTTCTCCAACTCCTTCTGGGTGAGGCTTATAACTTTTTGAATGACCTTTGTATAGTAAGATATTAACAATATATTTACACTCTACTGATATTCTCTCAATAATGTTTACATTACTTTCTGCAACTGACAATACCATTTTTTTTGAGTTCCAATGTATAGCATATAAATTGAGTGCAAAAAACTTACTAAAATAAATTGGCATATATAAATAATACCATCAATTTAAAAATGATGAAAATATTTAATTTTGTAGTTGCATTAAAAAGAAAAAAAAACAGGGATTGAAAAAGTAAGTGAGTTGGAAAAAGAGACAGATAAACTAACCAACAATGGGTATCACTGTTAGGGGTCAGAGGATAATTTTGATCAGAGGTCTCCAAAATGGTCGATAAAAATCCCTGTAGTTACTTGATTAATCCAGGAGGTTAGTAAATCAAAAGAAAGTCAACAATAAATCATGTTGACTTATGACTAAAAGTCACCAATTTCCAATCAAATATTAATGCTCTTCCTCATCAAAGATGTCAACCAATTCAATAAAAAGGTATATTAATTTATTTTTAATGTGTTTATTATTACCTATACTATCTATGAAGTTTTTCTTCTCCTTATTATTATAGCTTATAACCATATCACATTGAAACACTGATTCTCATATGATCACCAAAGTTAAGCAATGTTGAGCCTGTTCAGTTACTAGATGGGTGACCACTTAGGAATACCACATGCTGTAAGCTTGGATGTATGTGTGGTGTAGTGGATAATGGCTCAGAAGTGGCAATCAAAGAACTGGGTTCCAATTCCAGTAAGGTTCGTTTTATTTACTTATACACAAATACCCTTTGGAAAGGTATGAATCCATCCCTTTCCCCTACAGCTTTGGGTTAATTAGTAGGATTTGTATCAGTAAATCTTTATCTTCAAAAATTTTTACAATCTAAAAATATTTTCTGGCTTCAAACAACAAGCAAAAAAGGTTGATAAGCCTTAAAAAAAAAAAAAACAAATCAATCCATCAATCTTATTATTCAAACAAACTTGTGTAGTATAGGAAAAGAAATAGAAACTGAAAAAGGAATAATAAAGAAAAAGCTAAAAAAATGAAAAAATAAAACAAAAATGAAGGAAAAGGGCAAAGGGATTTCTATCCTTCTTCTTTTATGTACTGTGTCCCTTTGAGATATTAATGGTCATAGCTCCCCAAAATTTCCTGTTCTTATATACAAAATTATTATTATTGATGTTTTTTGTACATGTCTATGAGTTGATGAGAGATCAAAGTATCCATGAAAGAGGTTGATGGTCCTAAAATGTTTGTAGACTTCGGGTTTAGGCAGTGTTTTTTTTCATACCAATATTGTTGTATTTGTATACTGAGCATTGCCAGTTATGCAAGCTGTTGACAATAAGAATGATCCATACAGCTTGCTCCCTAAATGCTGCTTTGCATATAAAAAGATTCAGTTCATGTGTTTGTACATGCTTTTGTCTTCTTATCTAAGTGTAAGCAAGAGAAAAATATAGAGGTGATAAAAAAAATGGGAGAGAAAGAGGAGAGGTGAAAGTGAGAGTAGAAAGAAAAAGAAGAAAAACTTTAGGAAAATATTGATAATTATTTCTTTATTTATATATTGAGCATGGAATTCTTCAATTCTAGCATTAAAAAAAGAACTTTAAAACATTACTATATGTTTTGATTGACCTAAGTCAGTTCTGGCACAAGGTCAAGTTCATGTAGTTCCTAGGATGAATTAAGCTCACTTTCAATATCTGAACTATTATATTATTTATTATGTAATACTTTGAGATTTTAAACTTTCACCTGCATTTAAATTTTATAAATAATTAATCACTAACTCAAAAATAATTTCTCTTAATAAATTTGATACAGGACTGGCTCTTAAACTTTTTGTTTCAAACTGTACCATAAAGCTTAATGCCCCTTATTTAAAGAGATTCATCATTATTTTTGAGAATCTGTGCTCGTTTCAATTTATATCAAGTTGGTAACTGTCTGTGGATTGATTATTTGAAAAAAAAATATTCAATACAAAGAGATTTTGTGAATTTTTTTAGAATAACATATTTAAAATATTTTTTCTTATATTTCACTGCTTGCACGTATACCAAGTACACAGTAAAGAGAGTAACTGGCCTGATATAAGATAACAGTAACACCTTGGGATTCTTGACCAGCATCCTCACACCATTAAACTGTATATCCATTTAAATGATGAATGCATTGGATTATACTGGAAAATTCTGCTGCTACTACATTGACCATTTGTAAAATGGGTGTTCTTGCTTTTTAAATCAAAATGAATCCTTTCTCAGGTAAAGATGCGTTAATGAGCATAACTAGTCAGACACCAGGTTTAAAAGATGTGTAGTTTTATGCTCTACCACTGAGCCTACACAGAAATGTCAGTTTTTTGTTTTTTTCCTTCTGCCACCTGATCATTTCGCTCAGCTGGTTGTGATGACAGTGATGTAGACAACCCCTACCCAGCCTGCTATCCTAACCCCCACCAACCACGAATTAGCCTTTCCTCCTACTCTTGCCCTCTCACTCCCTTTTCCGCAGCACACGCTATCCCATGATGCCACGCCGTTGCTGCTACTTCCGTCTGCAGCAGCAGTGACGGAGGAGGAGATACGACCAAACCACGGCACGGAGACTACATGTACAAAGCTGGCAGTAAGTAACATTTTTAATCTTTTTTTTTTCGCTATTTGTCTGTATGTTTTTCTAATGTCCAATACAGTTTCAATTCAGATAATCCCACAATCTCCTTGCTATTTGTTCCGAACGAAATAGGCGTATTCTTTGGCACATGGATGAAGACATTTTGCTCATTTGTAATAATATCGGCTGATATGATTAGCAGAACCATAACCTGATTTTTGAAGGTCTATTCTGTTCAACCGTTAATCTGGATTGCGAAACGAATGCAAAAAGAATTGTCTTATTCTTAATAAACAGTGAATATTTTGTAATTCTGTTTCGTATTAAAAAGCAGTTTTCTTTTCTTTCGTTTTTGTTTCTGATAACAATAACATTATTGGATATCCAAACAAATGTTTATTGAAATAAAATCGATCCTTTTGTGGATATATTTAACGAAATGTTTGTGGGTGCTATTTCGGTTTTTGTTATTCCGTGTGTGTGTGTGTGTGTGTGTGTGTGTGTGTGTGTGTGTAAAGAATAGTGGAATAAGAGAATAACTGCTGATCGAATCTCCCAATTCTTGATGTGTCTGTCCGGAGGTGGCTTGGTTGACAGTGGAGTGAGGCCGAAAATAAAATTGTGGGGATAATTATTATAGGCGCCGTTTGTGCACTTTTTTAGTTGTTTATATGGAAGATTAATGATAAATATATTTCCCCTGTGATACGTTGACTGTTGTCTTCACCTGTGGTTACGTAAAATAAGCAATTTTTGATTAGTAAATAATAACCGCTTTCTCTCTCTCTCCTATCGTGACGGTGGTTGTTCCCGGTTCTGTCAAAAACTGAATATTTATTTATCTGTAAAAAAAAAAAATAAATAAAAATAAACAGTCGTCTATTTAAGAGTATTAATTTAAGAATGATAAAAAAAGATAGTTTTGTATTTTTCGTGCATTAAATGACATTTCTAATTTAAAATAAAAATAAAACGAACAGTCGAAATATTTGAGTTTCTTTACAACTGAACCTCGTCATTATCAATTCATTCTTTTTTATGGTTTTTGAATTGCCGCATTTTTATGTCTTTTTTTTTTTAAATAATACATCTTACAAAAATATACATTTCCGTTTACATAGCTATTTTTCTCTTTATCTACAAATTTATGTAAGCTTAAATAACTTTGTTCTGTTTTAAAAAAATATTAAATGCTTCTTGTCAGTTGTTTTGTCAGTAAATCAGTCACTAAAAAAAGCAGATATTTTTATTGTCAAAATCAGAAACAAAACAATTTTTGGTTGCATTTTTATCAGCTATTCTGAAAGAATTGTTATGAATTAATTAATATTTTATGATCGCAAATGTTTGTAATTAATTAAAAACAAAATTAAAACAATAGGGATTTGGTAAAAAAAAAGGTATTATTTTCAAATGAGTCATTGGTTTTTAATAAATAAATTAAAAATTGGATCCTTCACACTGGATTGTAAGGTGAATAATTTCGAAAGAAAATAACAGAGTTGATGGTGGTTTTCGATTGTTTTAAAAATGAATTATGGAAGAATAAGTTAATCAATGTGGGTGGAGATATTGACCTCGGAAGATGAATAGGAAGCAGGGACATTTGTTGCAATGACAAAATACTGGATTATACGAAACGTCCCGACTCTTGTGAATCTGTAAAATCTTTTTCTCTTTTCTTTTCAAACTAAAAGTAGGAAGTCTCGATGAGTTTGTTATGTAACAATATTTGTCTTTTTTTGGTGCACCATAGTTTTTATTATTATTCTACCTTAAAAATTAAAATAATGAAAGTGAGAAAAAGACACACAAAAAAAAAAACAACAAAAAACAACTTGATAAACGTTGGAGGTGAATTAAAAAATTATTAGAGATAGTAAAGTTTGTAAGCGTTTTTTTTTTGTTTTTTTTTTAATCTCTGAGGATAGCAGCTTTTTGACAATTTGCAATAAAACATTATTTTCTGATGTTTTTCAGGGCTTCCGTAGTTTTGTAATTTTTTATTTATTTGTTGTTTTTTATACATTGGTTCATTATGTTTTTCTTCTGGTGGCATTTTAAAAGTTCTTTACATTTTTTGCGATAAATCACCTAAGGGACTTTAAACACTTTTTCTTAGTCGAAGTTTTTTTTTTTTTTTTCTTATAAATATTTTCGTTTTCTCTTTTAAAAACAGAAACTGAAATTTGAAGAAGAGGTGGTTTTGTATTTTTTTTTTTTTTCTGGACTTGGTATGCAGTCACTTATTTTTTTTGTTTGGTCAGTGCTTGATTCAACACGGTGTTTTAAATTCTTTAGTTTAGTATTTCCATACAAAAAATATTTTTTAAAGCAGTTATTCGACAGGTTTTAACCAAAAATGTAATTTTGAAATAATATTTATTTTATAAAAAAAAAAAAAAAAAATGCCCTCTCTTTCACTTTCATACTTTGCTGTATGTTTGACTTTTTCGTCCTTATGTTTTGTTAAAAATGAAAAAAAAAACACAAAAAAAACAGTGCCTTGTTAGGTACCAACACGATGATCTGTCAGTGTCAGTCGCTTCTCTTTTTTTAGTAGTCGTGAATCTTCGTGTTTTCATCCTACCTAGCTTTTATGAGGTGCTGACAAACACACGTATGAGTGGGCGTATGTATGTATAGTTAGAGGAACAAATAATATCGGCCTTTATGTGTGTGTGTGTTGGTACTAAAATAATCTGTTCTACTGTCTGTTGAATGAAAATGCTGCTACTATTGTGGGCACTAAGTCGGGGACCAACTTATTCCTTGTCATGCCTATCGAAAGGTCAAGGTTTTAAAGAGAAATAACGACTCTCTTACTTAATTGATTCAGCCTTCTACCAAATCAGACATTTAATTTTTGTGTAATTTTTTTGTCAGAAGCTGACTTGTTAGTTTTTAAAGTTAACCACTTGCTATTCTGCTTAGTATAGTGTTTCGCCATCTTGAATTTAACAAAACTAATTCAATCTTTTAAAAAATTATTATGTTTTTTAATTTTAATATTCACATATTCATTTATTAAGGTTTAAATAAAGTAAAA